CTCACTTGAGGTCCTTCCTCCCAGATGACTCCAGCTGGGGACTAATTGACAAAAAAACAAAAACAAAAACTAAAAAAACAAAAACTACATGGTACACCACCTAAGGTGGAGAAATATGCACAAACATTGCCAAACTAACCCTTATCTTCCCTGTCATTTTGCATTATTAACTACCTGAGGTTGGCACTCTTTGTCTTGTCTGTTTTCACAATTTCTTACTCATTGTCCAATCTGGTAATAGTGAAATCTAGCTCTGCTGACATAGGAGTCCCATGAATTCAAGGCTGAGCTATTAACGAACCCCACACTCTTCTTTTGCTATGAAAATACGTAGATCAACATGCTTTTCCTCCTCCCTCAGATTAGCTCCTGAACTCCAAAAGACCCCAAATTGTTTGTATAGATGACACTGAAGCACTTAGGCACACTGTTCTCACACTGGACTCTCCTTAAGTCCCAAACAATAACTCCGTGACTTCCCATCACCATGGCCTGAAATCCTTTTCTTTTCTTTCTTTCTTTTTTTTTTTTTGTTTTTTTGTTTTTTGGTAAAACAAGAATGTAATACCCTCCACCCACAGGATTTCTCTGTGGCTTTGGACACTGTCCTGGAACTAGCTCTTATAGACCAGTCTGGTCTCGAACTCAGAGAGATCCACCTGCCTCTGCCTCCCAAGTGCTGGGATTAAAAGCGTGTGCCATCACCGCCTGGTGGTTTCTGAAATCCTTTTCTGCAAAGTTAGTTAACCAAGAATCCTGGCCACGCCTGAATAGAGGTCCCAAGCCACTGAGGGGGACTCCTCAGGGTGCCCTGTCAGCAATGTTGAGCTGTGCCCGCCCCCCCAACAATATCAGCAAGTGACTGAACAATGTAAAATACAGTGATATCTTAGATCGGGTTAGGAAGCATTTCAAGTAGGGTGAATGAAGGTCCCATCCTGAACAAAGCGCCTGTGGAACATTCTAATAGAAATATCTAATTGGCTGTCTATTTGAGACTGGTGTTCTAATAAGTGGTTGGCCACAGATACCATTTCTTTTAATGACATAAGATAAGAAACAGAAGCTAGCTGGGCGTTGGTGGCGCACACCGTTAATCTCAGCACTTGGGAGGCAGAGGCAGGAGGATCTCTGTGAGTTTGAGGCCAGCCTGGTCTACAAGAGCTAGTTCCAGGATAGGCTCCAAAGCTACACAGAGAAACCCTGTCTCAAAAAAAGAAAACAAAACAAAACAAAACAAAAAAAACAGATGCCACAAAAATAGGCAAATTTGCCTAGGACGAATAATATGTAGGGTAAGGAAAAGGCTAAAACAGGTCCCTTGAAGCCCTCAAATGTCAAGCTGGTAGGGCACTGCAAAGGAGATTGAAAAACAAAAAACAAAAAACAAAAACCAGCAGTGGGGGAGGGAGTATCAACAGAGGGCTATGTTATCAAAGCCACAGAGGATGAGTAAGAGGAAGGAAAAAACATGATGAGGTGGGAGAAGCCTTGAGGTCAAGGAAGATAAACAGGGCATAGGATCTTACATGGCAGGAACAAGATGCCAGCTGAAGGTGGCAAGTGACAACACTCAGAAAAAGAATACACTTGCTGGGTGTGCTCTAAGCTGTTTCCCGAAGGACCCGACTACTGTGTCTGGCTTTCTTTCTTTGCTTGGTTTCTTGATACAGGGTCTCCTGTAGCCCAGGCTGGCCTCTGAGTTGCTATGTAGCCAATGATAACTTTGTACTCCTGATTCTCCTGTCTCCAACTCTCGGGTATATGGAGGTCTCCAGTGTTATTTCCAAGCACTATCCACCTTGGTGGGAATTTTTTGTTTGTTTTGTTGGGGTTTTGGTTAGGTTTGGTTTGGATTTTTTAATTTTTTGTTTCTTTTGAGGGGGACGGTGGTTTGGTTTGGTTTTTATTTCAGAGACCAGGTATCACCATACAGCCCTGTCTCACCTAGGCTATATAGAACACCCTAACCTGAAACTCACAGGGTTCTGCCTGCCTCTGCCTCCCTGGTGCTAGTATTAAAGGCATATACAGTCATGCCTGGCTCCACCTTCGTTTTTTTTTTTTTTTTTTTTTTTTTTTTTTTTTTTTTTTTTGGCACAGGGCTTCACATTGACTTGGAGACTAAGCTGGCTGGCCAGTGAGTTCCAGTGATATGCCTGTCTCTGTGGCCCCAGCCCTGGGATTGTAATTGTGTGCCATGAGTCCTAGGGACTAAACTCAGGTCTTCATGCTTATAAGACAAGCTCTTACTGACTGAGCTAGCTCTCTAGCCCCAGATGTTCTTGTTCTTTTCTTTTTTTTGGGGGGGGGGGGGACAGGAGCTTTGGAAAAATGAGATTCTAAGCTCAAAATCCACCTCCTCTGTGGTAAATCTACAATAGGTTTACAAAACTCCAATATATAAGTCAAGACTTGAGTTGATACACCTTATGTGACAGAAGAGCTCAGTGTATAAAAGTAACCACAAATGCAACATTAATCATGTTGTGTGGTTGCTACAGCATGCAAACACAGCTTTGGGTTGTTTTAACACAGCTTTGGATTGTTTTAATAAATGTTTCCAAATAATTAATAATCAGTGATGGTTCATCTTGATGGCAACAGGACAGGATTTAAAGTAACCGGACCATGGAAATGAGCCTCTGGGAATGTCTGGGAGGGAGTTTTTTTCTTTCTTTCTTTTTTTTGGTTTTTTTTTTTTTTTTTGGTTTTTTTGTTTGTTTGTTTTTGTTTTTTTTGTTTGTTTGTTTTGTTTTTCGAGACAGGGTCTCTCTGTGGCTTTGGAGCCTATCCTGGCACTTGCTCTTGTAGACCTGGCTGGTCTCTAACTCACAGAGATCCACCTGCCTCTGCCTCCCGAGTGCTGAGATTAAAGGCGTGCACCACTGCCACCACCACCCAGCCAGACTCCATTTCCAAGGATGGCTGGAGCTGATGGGGGACCTCAATGGTAGTGTTTGCCTAGCATTTGCAAAATTATGGGGGTGGGGAGAAATCAATGTACCAGGTGGTGGTGGGGGATCAAAGATGACCCACCAATCCCTCTCATTGCGCATATCTTTTGCAGAGTTGCTTTGCTATTCCCTCATCAAGAGATGGAGCATGTTTTCCTGGTAAATCCAGGCTGATCCTGTGTCTTAAATTGACCAACAATGGATTTGACTTTCAGATCTAGGCTTGAAGGGGCCTCAAAGCTTCTGTTTTCACTGACTTGCTTGACAGACACCAATTCAAGCTAGGATAGGCCACTGACTGGTGAGCAATCACTGTATGAAGAAAAAGGTTTTGTTGGGGAGAATCGAGAGGCCCAGATATTAGCAAGACCTTAGACTCACGGGTAAAGTTGTCCTCCAATTCTAGCTATTTCAATAACAACTCTAGTTATGTCAATGACTTAGGTCTTTGGGATGTGACTAGAATATCTGAAGAATTTCATTTGGTTTAAACTGAACTTTAAATAGTGAGCAACTGTTATATAGGCCAGCACGGATGTTTATTCCCACTCTAATTCATCCAACACAATCCCATTAAAAGAACAGGGCATGGGCCGGCTGGAAATTGCCTTAGCACCCATCTTTCATGGGACTAACAAGTATGTAGGCAATGTCTGGAGACAGTTGGATCTATTAGAAGGAAAGGGGGACGAGGAAAAGGATGGCTACCATTAGATGACTAACCCCCAGCATCTCTAAAATGACAATGCTAACTGTATCATCTGTACACAATGTGGAAATGAGGGGCTGGGGGACTGAGATTGATTGATTCCCAGAACCAGGACTGGTGCCAGCGGTAGTCTGAGAGGCTGAGGCAGGTTTTAAAAGTTCAAAGACAGCCTGGGTACCTTCAATACTTTAAAATAAAAACAAAACAAAAAAAAGTAACAAGAGGGCTGGAGATGTAGCTCAATTGTTGATCACTTGCTTAGCCTACCAGTAATGAGAGGTTAGATCCTCAGTATCCAGGGGAAAAAGGAGATTTCCAGTTTCACATCTAGCTCAGAGGAGTCCCAACAGAAAGTTAACTTTCAGAAGCTTTCCTTGTCTGACGAAAAGGGAGATTTTAATAGTTCCTTTGTTTATTCTGAGGATGTGGCCAAAAAGCAGACATTAAACCCTCTGTTAGTGTTTGTAACTACAGCCATCATTTAAATCCCTATTTCCCTATTTACTTCCCTCTTCTCTGAAGTTGAAGTTTTACATCACCCAGAACAAGTTGCAAATAACGAAATTCTCAGTTACACTGATTTTTTTTTTTTCAATTATGAGCCAGGGTGTCAGGTAGCCCAAGCTTGCCTCAAACTCGCTATCTTGTTCTTAATTATCCTGTACTCTAGATACTTCTGCGTCCGCCTCCCAAAGCAGGAGAGCAATGTTTAGGTGACACTGGCGATCACCCCTAGGGCTTCATGCATGCTAGGCAAGTACACAGCCTAGGCGTTTTTGTTTGCAACAGACCGTATCTCTTTGAATACAGGAATCCTATATATTTGGGGAATGGCAATGTTCCAATTATCCCTCGATTTTCCTCAGAGGCCTGAGTAGGAATTCCAGGAGTGGATAATGACCTAAACTCAAAAGACTTTATTGAATTCAGCCCCAGACTAGTATTTTACCCCTCGCTGAATCTACCGTGCACAACAGGGAACGGCGGAGGCGCTTACCCCGACCAACAGTCCCACAGGTAACTCCGGCCGGCCGGATCCCTCCCTCCAGGCCCATCCTACTAGTAGCTCTTTGGGCGTGGCCCAGCTAGCGTGGCCAATTGGGCGTGGCGTGCGTAGGGCGAAGGCGTGGCTGAGAAGAGGAACTTCCGATTGGGCCCAACCCAACAACTTCCGGTAGCACTCGCCAATTTCCGGCCACAGACTCCGCCTCCGGAGGCTCACCTCGAGTATTTCCGACATCTCTCGGGCTTTTCCGTCTCGCTCTCGTTTGGCTCTCTCCACTTCGGGTATTTCCGTGTCACGCTCGGAGGAGTTCGGCAACCACTCGGCCTCCCCCATCCCCCGGTAACGGTCGCTGGTGAGTTTAAATGAGCCGGGGCTGGCCGGGCCGGAGTCGCTACGGGGGGGGCCTGAGGCACTGCAGAAAGTGGGCCTGAGCCTCAAGGATGACGGTGCTGCAGGAACCTGTCCAGGTAATACTAGCGCCTGCTCCGAGGCCTGGCGCCATGCCTGGGTCGCAAGCGGCGAGCAGCCACTCCGCGGCCTGCTGCGGCCTAGGCCCCGCTTCTCCCGCCTCCCTTTCGGCGAGCCCCCTACCTGTCTTTCGTCACTCCCGAGGCCTTGCCCGCGGCCTCAGCCGAGGTTAGCCCCGGCCCCGCATTACTTCTCGCCTGTTGTGCCAGCCGGGTTCGGCGGGAATCACTCGTTTCCGTCGGTCCTGGCGTCCGGCCATCCCCCTCTTGTTGGTCTGGGTTCCTGCCCGCGGTGGGAGACGAGGGGCCGCCCGAGACGGCGCTCCGAGTGCTCGGCGTCCCGGGGGTCGACACAGAAGCGCTTTTGAGCCGAGCTGGTGGGATTTCACACCCGTGGGGCAAGTTTACTGGTGTTTCCTTGCTTTTGTTTTACGTGAGGTGGTCGAAGGAAGACGTAAAATTACCCGTATTTTCGGTACTGGTTTTCGTTTCGGGAGCAGACTTTCTTGTCCACGTTACAGTTCTCCGTGGATTTCCCACCGGACAATGACGACCTGAGAAGGGAACTCCCAGGCCCACTGCTGCGGGGCAAACACCCCAGCAGGGGAGTGGACGAAAGGGCAGGTCTGGATTTTTTCCATCACCTAGGATGGGTATCAGGAGGCATTTTACCGTGCTGATTTAGAAGGTGTTTAGGAAATTAGAGATAATTGCTTTCCCATCCATTTCACCATTCGTCCATTCCTTAACCACACCAAGGTATGCATTGACGCACACGGTGCTGTTGTCAGAAGAAAGCCTATTGGGTTTTGAAGTATGTGATGCAGTGCCAAGTCATTTTCCCCCCTGCCACATCTGAAGAAACTGAACCTATTGTCCTTTGGTGGTGGACCAGGTTTGGGAGATGTTTCATTCCACCGTATGATCTTTGACATGACCACAGTTGGCCTCCATTAAATTACAATCATTAAGCCATAAGCTATTTTGAAGTTATAAATCAAACCGATTTTAGAAATTGCTGCGAATTGCCTTAGGTAAGACTGACAACAAATATTTAATATTTCAGTACGTCAGTACAGCATTTCCTTAATGTCTCATCGCAGCCTAAAATACGGTTTCCCTAGTTGAACTTCATCTCCAGATGTTTACATGGTGACAGCTATTAGTATTTGAATTAATATAATTCTGGATTATATCTTCGGAACTGTACATAAAACATATGTTTGTATGTTTTTTGTTTTATTTTTTTTGTTTTATTTTGTTTTTCAAGACAGGGTTTCTCTGTGGCTTTGGAGGCTATCCTGGAACTAGCTCTTGTAGACCAGGCTGGTCTCGAACTCACAGAGATCTGTCTGCCTCTGCCTCCCGAGTTCTGGGATCAAAGGCGTGGGCCACCACTGCCCAGCCCATGTCTCTGTATGTTGTATCAATTCTTCCAAAGCTGCATTTCTTTCCAGATTTCTCTTCCTAGTGTAGAGTCCCTTAAAAGGCCCTTTTGAGGCCTAACATGAAATTAAACGGATAAGGAGGTTATTCAGATAATTAGTTTTTATTTCATATTGTAGTTTTGTCTTACTTTTCTGCTTTTCTGGAGCCAGAAGGCTTCTAAAGTGATATGATAGTTTACAGCATGTAAACTACTACTTAAAAATTTTTAACTTCTAGAAAACCATGAGAGTGTAGAATACATTGTTTAAGCAAGATAGAATCCAGCAGGTTTCCTGTTTGTTTTTAAAGTACTGTGGAATTTACCTCCCTCTCCTCCATAATAACTTTTTCCATTAGATTTTAGGGTAATTGTAAGAAGTTTTGGGGTGTGAGGGGATGAGAATAATTTATAGTTGGCCGGAGGATCAGGAGTTCAGGGTCATCCTTGGCTACAGAGCAAGTTCAAGGCCAACATGGGCTATCTGAAACCCTGTCTCAAAAAAAACAAAAAACAAAAACAAAATAACAACAAAAGGAGCAGTTAGCAGTGGGAGAAATTAGCTAACTTTGAGCAGGAATGCTGTTGAAAATGAGAAAGAGCTAGTATGAAAGAAAAAAGTAAAGAGATGCTAAGATAATTGTTTTAAGAATTGTTCATTCCATATATCAGGATGAAAATAGTGTTGAGAATATTTTCTTTACTTTGTTCCTGGTGATCTAGGCACAGGAAAAAGTTGACAGAAATAATGCACAACTATTTGTTCCTACCCCCCTCCTTAAAATTTTTACCCAGTGAAATGTGCCATATAGACTTAAATATAAGCCCCTCCCCAAGTTAGCACTCATAGAAAAAACATTGCTTTATATTTGAGTCTTCTGTTTTTTGAGACAGGGTTTCTCTGTGGGACAGTTCCAAGCTGTCCTGGAACTTTCTCTGTAGACCAAGCTGGCCTCGAACTCACTTGAGATCCACCTGCCTCTGCCTCCCAAGTGCTGGAATTACAGGCACCTGGCTTTATATTTGAGTCTTTACAAAATAATCTTTGATATTTCAAAGCACAGATTGATTTTTGTGGCAGTCTCACTGTGTAGCCCTGGCTGGGATTAAAGGCATTCACAGTACTAATTTGGGTGCCTGTAAAAGTGGCATTTTTTTGTTGGTATGGTGTCTTGTTTAACTTTCATTTACTGTGTGTACATGTGTGTGTCAGTCAGTCTTGGTGACAAGTATCTTTATCCTCTGAGCCATTTCACTGAAAGCTGTTGTTGTTTTAAGAGGCAGGTGTTTTATATAGCTGCATCAATTGATAAAGCTGTATCAATTATTGCTGTAAGTGAAGCTTCACAGATGTATTGGATGAAATTGTAGACAAGCCTTTTGAAAATGATTTTACTGTGCAATAGAGGAACTAGATGGAAGAACCTTGCATGCTAATCTGCATCTGAAACTCCAACTAGAGGCAGGAAGATAAGGAGTTCAAGGTCTGCCTGAGCTACATAAATCCATGTCTCAAAAACCAAAACAAAATAAAGGAGTTTGGGTATTATCCATCCATAATTCATGTCATCCTTTTAGAGGTTTTTTGTTGTTGTTGTTGCTTTTTTTGTTTGTTTTGTTTTTTCGAGGCAGGGTTTCTCTGTGGCTTTGGAGGCTGTCCTGGAACTAGCTCTTGTAGACCAGGCTGGTCTCGAACTCACAGAGATCCTCCTGCCTCTGCCTCCCGAGTGCTGGGATTAAAGGCGTGCGCCACCAACGCCCAGCTTAGAGTTTTATTTAATAGTGAAAGAGTACTTTTGACTTGGGATAAGATGTCCCCAAGTGTCACCTAATAATGTTTCAAAGAGTACCATACTATGGCTGCTACGTGAGAAGCATCATGGTCAAGAGAAGCCTGTCGTCTTAGAAGCAAAGGTATCTAGAGTAGCAGTGGAACAGGAAAAGGGTAGATAAAGGTTTTAGAGGTAGAAATTCAGGAAATAACTTGGAAAGTAGAACCATTGAAACATGGGGAGGGGATTGTCTTCCTGGAGTTGGTATCAAAAATGACTGCCTGAATTTTATTTCAGTGGTGCTGTTTAAAAAATGAAAAATCCAGCTGCTTGTGATGACACATGCCTTTTGATCTCAGCACTTGTGAGGCTTGTAAGGTCAAGGCAGGTAGATCTCTGTTCGTCCAAGGCCAGCCTGTCTACATAGTGAATTCAGGCTAGCCAAGGCTGCATAGTGAGATGCTGTGTCAAAACAATTCATAGCTCCCCCAAGCTAAAACTAATTCCCTAGAAAAATAATAAATGCTTTTCTACCAGATAGGATTGGGGCAGATTCAAAAGAAGACATTTAAGAATTCTGTTTTGGCCTGGTGGTGATGAACACCCTTAATCCCAGCACTTGGAAAGCAGAATCAGGCAGATCAGCCTGGTCTACAGAGTGAGTTTCAGGACAGCCAGTGCTACACAGAGAAACCCTGTCTCAAAAAAAAAAAAAAAAAATATGTTCTGTTTTGAAGAAAAGAAGTTGGAAATAACTTGTGAAACTATGGAGACATAATTCCTCATCTTGGGTTCTAGTCCTGAGAACATGAAGAATGATTAGCAGGAACAATTGGATGTTAACTATGCATTTAATTACATAGATACTAATAAAGGAATTCAGGAAAGAGAGAGCTTTGTAGGTCAGAAAAAAAAATGGGGACTGGCTTTTTGAGCAATTAGAATTTGAAACCTAAGAAATTAAAAAAGAGGAGGTGTATTCTTGACTTGAAATTGCATGAGCAACAGCCCAAAGTTTAGAGTATCACTTAGAACAGTAAAATATTCTTTTTTTTTTTTAAGGAAGTTTTTGTTTTTAATGTTTTCCCTTATTAATTATGGCAAGTTCATTTCTTAACTGGGACAAAAACTATTTTGGGGGGATTCTGACCTGTGAAAATATTGTATTCTTAACTAGACTAGAAGTTGAAAACAGAAGTTTTTGACTAGCCAGAATCAAATTACAGGAGACTCAGCATTTAAGCTGAAAGGTTTAGATTTAGTGTATTAATAATAAATCTTGGGCTAGCTTTGTACTCCCTTCTAGTGCAGGCAGGCCTATGACTTACTATCCTCTTGTCTCTGCTTCTGGAGTGCTGGGATTACAAACTTGTACCACTACCCCAGGCTGCAAGAAAATTTTGATAGAATTAGTAATGAAAGCAGTGTGAGCCAGGCGGTGGTGGTGCACACCTTTAATCCCAGCACTCAGGAGGCAGAGGTAGGTGGATCTCTGTGAGTTCCAGGACAGCCTCCAAAGACACAGAGAAACCCTGTCTCGAAAAAACAAACAAAACACAAGCAAACAAACAAAAGCAGTGTGTTGGGAATAGTGATGTGATTTTGTTGGTAAGGAGGAAAAGACAAGTTCGGTACATAGACTAGTAGGATGACCCAGCTGCATAGTAATGTGGATCAGGTTTTTAAATTTTGTCAGGACTGATTTTTTTTTTTTTTTTTTTGGAGAAAGTGGATTGGGTTACGTGGGTATTAAGGAGTGTTTTACTGCATCTCTATTTACCAGATGCCTTCTCCGTTTAAAATAGTCCAAAATGCCCCCCATCAGACATGGCTAAATGTGGGATCAGAGAACCACCTAGATAAAGAACCATCATATAGAGTCGGATATGGTGACAACATGCCTGAAATCCCATCACTTGGGAGTTTAAGGCCTGTGTCGTAAGTTTTGAGATCAGCCTTGGCAAAATGAGACCCTGCTTCAAAAGCAGAAATATAAAACAACCAATCAGATAAGTAAAGACTAGAGTTACAGAATTTAGATGATAATTTCTACAATGACATTTTTTTGTTAGGGTTCTTTCCTCTTTCCTCTCTTTTTCCCTCTACCCTCCCTCCCTCCCTTTCTTGTACCTTACATTGTATGAAGCTAGCTTTTCTGGTCTTGAAATAAGCTTTGCTTTATTTCATACATTCATTCATTCAGTCAGTCAGTCATTCAGTCCGTCACAGGTATTTAAATCTGAGTACAGTTTACATTTTAAGTATTGAGCTGGGTGTGGTGGGGCATGCTTGGAATCCCAAGACTTGGGAAATGGAAGCAGGACTGTGAATTTGAAGCCAGCCTAGGTAGTGAGAATCTGTCTTAAAATGTACAGATAAGCTGGGTGGTGGTGGTGGCGGCGCATGCCTTTAGTCCCAGCACTCGGGAGGCAGAGACAGGTGGATCTCTGTGGATTCCAGGACAGCCTCCAAAGCTGCAAGTCTGTAGTCCTAGCATGTGAGAGGCAAAGGCAAGCAAATAAAGAGTTCAAAGGCATTCTCTACTACATAACAACTTTGAGGCAGTTTGTGCAGTGGGGATCTTTTTTTTCTTTTTCTTTTTTTCTCCAAAAC